GACAGATTTGTTAGTCCTTTTAGTAGATCATGGTACTCTTAGCATTCTTCTCCAACACCATGACTCAAAAGCATCGACTCTTCTTTGGTCTTCCTCATTCATTGTCCAGCTCTCACATTCATATGAGGAGATTGAAAATGCCATGGCTTGGGTTAGGTGCACCTTAGTATTCAGAGAGACATCTTTACTCTTCAGCACTTGAAAGAGGTCTCTTGCAGTAGGTTTGCCTAGTGCAATACATCCTCTGCTCTCTTGACTGCTGCTTCCATTGGTGTTGATTATGGAAACAAGTAATATGAAATCTTTGACAACTTCAGTCTTTTCTCCATTTATCATGATGCTCCTTATTGGCCCAGTTGTGAGGATTTTCAATTTTTTTTATGTTTAAGTGCAATCCATACTGCAAACTGTAGTCTTTAATATTTATCAGGTACACAGATATATCAGATATACAGGTGACACAACCTTGCTTGCTTCAAGTCATCTTCACTTTCAGCAAGCAAGGTTGTGTCATCTGTTTATCACTGGTTGTTCATGAATCTTCCTCCAATCCTGATGCCATATTCTTCTTCGTATAGTCCAGCTTTTCAGATTATTTGCTCAGCATACAGATTAATTAACTATGGTGAAATGATATGACCCTGACACACTCCCTTCCTGATTTTAAATCATGCAGTATCCACTTGTTCTGTTTGAACGACAGCCTCCTGGTCTATGTACAGGTTCCTCATGAGCACAATTAAGTGTTCTGGAATTCCCATTCTTCTCAATTTTACCCATAATTTGCTATGATCCACACAGTCAAATGTTTTTGTATACTCAATAAAACACAAGTAAACATCTTTCTGGTATTTGCTTTCAGACAAAATTCATCTGACATCATCAATAATATCCCTCATTCCACATCCTCTTCTGAATCCAGCTTGCATTTCTGGAAGTTCTGTCAATATACACTTCAACTACTTTAGAATTATCTTCAGTAAGATTTTACTTGCATGTGATATCGATGATATATTTTGATAATTTCCACATTCTGTGTGATCACCTTTCTTTGGAATGGGTACAACTATGGAACTCTTACAGTCAGTTGACTAGGCCACTGTCTTCCAAGTTTCTTGGCATAGATAAGTAAGTGCCTCCAGTGTGGCATCCATTTGTTGAAACATCTCAGTGGGTATTCCATCAATTTCTGGAGCCTTGTTTTTCACCAATTCCTCTGTGCAGCTTCAACTTCTTCCTTCAGTGCCATTGGCTCTTGATCATATGCTTCCTCCTGAAATAGTTGAACATTGACTATTTCTGTTTTGTACAGTGACTCTGTACATTCCTTCCATCTTCTTTTGATGCTCTCTGCATCATCCAATATTTTGCCCACAGAATCCTTCAATATTGCAACTCAAGGCTTGAATTTTTTCTTCAGTTCTTTCAGCTTGAGAAATTCCAAGAGTGTTCTTCCTTTTTTATTTTCTAACTCCATGTCTTTGCACATTTCATTATAATAATTGACTTTGTCATCTTTAGCTGCTCTTTGAAATCTTCTGTTCAGTTCCCTTATCTTGTAATTTCTTCTGTTTACTTTAGCTATTCTCCTTTCAAGGGCAAATTTCAGAGTCTCTTGTGACATCCATTTTGTTTTTATCTTCCTTTCCTGTCTTTTTAATGACCTTTTGCTTTCTTCATGGATGATATTCTTAATGTCATTCCACAATTCCTCTGGTTTTTGGTCATTGGTATTCAATGCATCAAATCCATTTTTCAGATGGTCTCTAAATCCAGAGGTCATATTTTGGCTCTTGTGGACTTGTTTTAATTGTCTTCAGCTTCAACTTGAACTTGCATATGAACAGTTCCACAGCCAGCTCCTGGCCTTGTTTTGGCTGAAGATACTAAGCTTCTCCATTGCCTCTTTTCACAGCTGTTGCTGATCTGATTCCTGTGTTTTCTGTCTGGAGACGTGCATGTGTATAGCCACTGTTCATGTTGAAACATGGTATTTGCAATGACTAAGTCGTTAGTCTTACAAAATTCTATCATGTGATCTCCACCATCATTTGCATCACCAAGGCTACATTTTCCAATTACTGGTGATTCTTCTTTGTTTCAAACTTTTGCATTCCACTCACCAGTAATAATCAACACATCCTAATTGCATGTCTACTCAATTTCAGACTGCAGAAGTTGGTAAAAATCATCAATTTTCTCATCTTTGGCTTTGATTACTGGTACATAAATTTGAATAATAATAGTAGGTATATGGATATTATCTTGTCACTGACAGCATTGTTCTTCAGGATAGATCTTGTAACATTCTTTCTGATGATGAATGCCACAGGGATAAATGAGCATAATGTGAATTTTGCATTTTGCATTTGCTTATAAGTGATTTCATCTGTGAGAAACATTAAGTGAATGGCAAAAGTTACACCCTGTTGAAATGAGCAACCAAAAACTCTAAACCAGTTGTCTTTGAGTTGATGGGGCTCATGTTGACCCCTGTGTTTCAGAATAGAACTGCACTCCACAGGGTTTTCCATGGCTGTCATCTTTGGGAAGGAGATCACTAGGCGGTTAGTAGCTGAGTGCTTAATAATTTACTTTGTACCACGAAGGACTTGAATATAGGAATTGCTGCATAGGACTATAAGTGGTCTCCAACTTACAATTTATGTCTTACTCAAGTTAAAATGAACAGTGTTAATCACCTTCTTTTTTGTGCATCTTATCATTAGTAATATGTCCTATATACAACGTTGCAGCATAAAATTTGCTGATGTTGATATGTAATGTTTCCAACTACCAAAGACAAAAATCAGATTTATAAACATATTGATAAAAGCTATTATATTAAAAGAGAGAGAGAGAGAGAGAAAGACAGAGAGACAGAGACACACACACACACAGACAGACAGACATAGAGAGAGGTATTTGACTTACATCAGAACCAACTTGGAAGGGAACCCCATTTTAAGTCAGGGACTACCAGTAGTCAAAATGTACACACACACACACACACACACATACACACATCCCTTGTGGTAGTTAAGGCTGTATGTCAACTTGGCTGGACTGGGTTTGGAGTGGCTGGACAGCTGGATATTGTTATTTCTCATGATGAGACTGCTAATCAACTCCATGGTGAAATCTACTGTGAGCAGCTGAGTAGGTGCCTTAGGATGTGGTCTGCTTTGAGAAAGGTCTCTAGCTTTTTTGGAGCATCTGAATCCTGCATTGGGCCAAGTCTTCATCTCAGTGGGCTGCCATGTTGTCTGCTGATCTTGAGACTATTTCTGGATGTGAACTAGTGGCCTGCTGTGTTGTTTGATAATCTTGAGACTGTGCCATTTCATTTGTTGACTTTGGGTTTGTCAGCCTCAGCAGCTAACAGCTGCCTGAGTTAAAAGAAGCCTCCAGCTCCAGTGGGCCAGAAGCAAGATTCAGAGATGAAGCCCAAGATAGAGGGGCCTTCACCCAGCCCCTAGAGCTGGCACTTTGAACTTGGACATCTAGCCTCCTAAACTGTAAGAGAATAAATCTGTTCAAGCCATACATTTGTGGTATGTCTGTTAGTGTAGCACCCCTCCTTGGGTTTCTGAGGCAGTATCACTGCAGAAGTAGATCGCCCAAACTTCCTTCCAACTAGAGAACCAAAACAGCCCTTAAACCTCTATCAGCTATTTCAGTTTGTTGTACGTTAAAAGCCACACTGTATCCAGCATTATGATTATCTGTCAGACTTCAGATAACCTTCCTTTCACCATTTTACAGTAATTCACAAGCTGAAAACTCTCTAACACCCACTTTCACAAGCAAACTTCAGACTTTCTTTTAAGGTAGAGTGTCATTTTAAAAAATAGAATTTATGTATTTCTTAACTATTTACCATGTGTAAAACTATACTACTGGCTTTTAAATTTATAGGCACTCTGGTGGCATAGCACCTGAGGCATCTAACTGCTAACCAGAAGGCTGGCAGTTCAAACCCACCAGCCTCTCCTCAGAAGGATGACTGGGCAATCTACTTCTGTAATGATATTGCCTTGGAAACCCAAGGAAGGGTCGCTATGAGTTGGATCTGACTTGATAGAAGTGAGTTTGGTTTGTTTTTTTAGTTAACTTTTATTTTTAAGCATACCATTTTAAAAATGTTTTTGAATGTTGTGCCTCTAACCCACATTCCCCATAATTCCTTTGGTGTTTATTGTGAGATGTTGTACATGGTGATTTTTGGGAATGCATATGCAGAATTGACTGTACCCTGAAAATGGACAGGCATCTATACCTTAAGCATCTTTACCTCTCTTGCTCTTTTATTTTTCTCAATGATTGGCTAAAAGTTAATTTAACACATTTTTTAAAAATTACATTTTAGATTCTTATTCTAAATTATCAAATTCTGGGTGCATCATATTACTTCTGGAGGAGTGTGTTAAAAATACAGCCACTCCTCAGAAGGAAGGTTGGGCAATCTACTTCCATAGTGATACCCCCTTGGAAACCCAAGGGAAGGGTTGCCATGAGTCGGATATGACTTAACAGCAGTGTGCACTATTGGGAAGCACTGTTCAGGGTGGTTTATAAGTATTAGCATATGAGGGTTAAACAATTACCACTCAGGAGCCCTACAGGGAATATTGAACCCAGCTAACCTGTTGCTGTCGAGTCCACTCTGACTTTTGGTGACCCTGTGTGTGTCACAGCAAACTTGTCCTCCATAGAGGCTTCTGTGGATGATGTTTTGGAAATAGATCACCAGTCCTTTCTTCTGAAATTTCTCTGGGTAGACTTGAACACCAACCTTTTGGTTAGCAGCCAAGTGTGATTACAGGGAAGTAATGAGTCAGCTGGAATCCTTTGATGGTACAAATCATTAAGCACTTGATGGCTTATTGAGAGGCTAGAAGTTAAAATCCACCAGAGGCACCTTGGAAGAAAGACCTGGCTAACCACTTCTGAAAACTCCACCATTGAAAATACCATGGAGCACAGTTCTACTGCTGCACACATGGGGTTGTCACGAGTCAGAAATGACTTGGTATTAGCTGGTAATAAGCCAGCTGCTCCAAAGAAGTACAGGCATAACTGTAAGTTCAAGCAAAGGTGAGATCACTATGGACTCAGTTTATCTGGGAAGGCTTCATGGGTAGGACGTAAACAGCTAGGACAGTGATAAGGGCATAAATTACCCAAAGCCTTAGCAAAGAAACAAATGAGCTGTCCCTGTTTTACAATAGCTTTTGCTGTTCCCACATGTTTTCATCCCAAACATACTGGATTTCATGTTTCCTTTGGCCTCTATCCTTTGGTTTGGGCAGAATCCTTTGACTCTAAAGATTTCCCAGAGGTGATCCCCAGCCTGGAAATTGAGGCAGCCTGCGGTGGTCATTACCTGACAGCACTGGCTGTAAAGAAACAGGACTTGGGATATAATGTCTTGATCTATCCTGGTGAGAAGTTGCTCTCTGGGAGCATGGAGGGCCACAGCTCCATAGATGACCATGATGTCAGTCTTGGATAAATTCTTTTTTCCAGAGAAAAGACCCTAAAAACCACAAAGGGGAGACATGTAAAATGGGACGAAAGTAGTTTTGTTTTCCCTCATGTCCATCCCCACACCCCCATTCCACAGAACACTACAGGGTTTAAGGATCTACACTGGGATGATTAAAATGAGTTAAAAATGTATGCACTCTTGCTTATTCAAATTAAAGACTTAGGATTGTCCCATGCTTTTAGCAGACTTTAAGAGAGGTAACTATGAGAAAGTTTATGCTAATTTTTATTGCTCATATACCTGTCTACTGGAGGAAACAGGCTTACCAAGAGGCTTGAGGAATTGATAGAGGGAACAACCTAGGCACTCAGGGCTCACGATGACCTTCCAGATCAGCACTGAATCACAACACCACTTGCCGTGGAGTCAATACAGACTCATGGTGACTCCCTGTGTGCCAGAGAAGAACTGGGCTTCACAGGGTTTTCAATGGCTGATTTTTCAGAAGTAGATCACAACACTTTTTTCCCAAGGAGCCTTTGGGTAGACTTGTACCTCCAACCTTTTGGTTATCAGCTGAGTGCTTTAATATTTTGCACAACCCAGGGACTCAGCATTAGTGACAGATAAAATGGAGACTTTTAATATATTTGGTCATTCTACAGGGCCTGGGTGTGGGCAGTTCTGATGCGGAATAAGGCCCTGGAGGCAGGAGCACATATAGCATGGAGAAAGGATATTCACTGATGGAATCAGTATCATTTTCCCTTACCTTACAGCGATTCATGAAGAACTTTTCTCTATCTTGGAATGCTTTAAGGACTTTCAAAACAGTATCAAATTGGTTTTCAGCACAGTATCCCAAAATAGAGATTATCCCCTAAAATCAGAAAAGGAATGTGATTTTGAGTTTAACTATTCAGTCATTCAACAACAACAAAAATAACCCCCCAAAAAACAAAACAAAAACAAAAACAAAAACCAAAAAACCCAAACCAAGTCGGATCTGCCTCATAGGGACCCCTCCTTGGGTTTCCAAGGCAGTATCACTATGGAAATTGTCCAATCTTCCTTCTGAGGAGTGGCTGGTGGGTATTGAGCACCAATTATGCATCAGGAAATATCTGGGTGCTGGGGATATAGGAGTGAACAGAACACACTATAATCCCTGTGCTTGTAGATCATACAATGAAGGGAAGTGACAGTGAAATGTCATTAACTGTGTTGTTGTTAGATGCTGTTGAATCATTAAGTAAACACATAAATTCACTAAACATGTAAATATATACTCTATGTATGTATGTCCGTTGGTGATAAGTGCTATGTAGAAAAGAAAATCAGGAAAGAGCAGTAGCTAGTGAGGGCAGCAGGAGTTTATAATTTAAATAGTGTAGTCAGAGAAGCTCTGGTAATGCTGTACCTAAAGCATCTGACTGCTAACCGGTAGGTTGGTCATTCAAACCCACCAGCCACTCCAGAAGGAGTTACTGCCTTGGAAACCCAATGGGGGTTGAATAGGGGTCAGAATAGACTTGATGGCAGTGAGTTTGAGTTTTTGGTCAGAGAAGACATCATTAGCAGGGTAACACTGAGCAGAAAACTGATATTGGTGAGGAAGTGAGCCATCGGACTATCTGGGAAGGACAGTTCTAAATAGGGAGAAGGTAAGTGCAAAGTCCTGAGGTCCACAGAGGCGGGCCGAATGGAGTGAATGCTCAAGGAGAGCAGTGCAAAGGGAGATCAGACAGGAAGAGGGGTCGGTTTTAGACAGTCCTCTCAGGCCATGCTAAGATTTTGATTTTTTAACTTTGCTTTGGTGGGAAGCCAATTGAGGTTTTTTGAGCTTGTGTTGACTAACACCTTTAAAGGGTCATTCTGCTGCTGAAACTTTATTATATCTTAAGTGGTTAAAATCTCTCTTTCTTTTTTAATTTTTGCTGTGCTTTGGGTGAAAGTTTACAGTGTAAATTCATTTTATATACAGTAATTCACATACACTTTGTCTCATGACATTGACTGCAGTTTCCCACAATGCAACAGCTCTCTTTCCACTTCCTCCCCATAGTTACCTCTTCCCTGTATCCTTCCCTCCCATGCACTCCTGCCCCCGAGCTATCTCCCTGTGCACACACAGCCCTTCTATTTGCCCACGGTTGATCTCTCCAAGGAGTATATCTACCTAATGTAAATGTTCAGCTCAAATGCCTATCTTTTGTTTGGCTGGAAGCCACAGGAGTGGGTTCAGTTTTAGACCAGAAGGGCAGCTAGGGGCCATAGTCTCAGAGGTTCCACCAGATCTATCAGACCAGAAAATCTGGCCCCCCCTTTTTAAAAATATATATTTAAGTGGATAAATTCTTGAAAGCTTGTAGCTCTTGTTACACCCTCTGAGGTTATATTCCCCAGCTTCTCTCCTCCCCATCTTTCTTGCCCCAGGCTGATTTCACCATAGTACCTTCATGGCAACTTGTTTGTGAATCCTATTATATTTCATTTGGTGCTTAACCCTGCCAGAGCCACCACAAGAATGCAGAGACCAGACCACTGTCACCAAGGTCTCAACTAGCACAGTTCTTAGTTCTTAGCTACCAGGACATCCATACTCCATCATTAGAAGATGCTTGAAATGATTCTTTGAAAGCTTGTAGGTGACAACTCTATGTTCCTATGTGGGGGCTTTGGGACCAAGCCCTCATATAAAGCTCTCTGTGTCTTTTATTCTCTTTATACTGTCATTCTATAGTACATTGTGCCTTTTTTCTCTCTCAACTCATCTTGCTAACTTCTTGTCTCTCTTTCAAACTTTCCATGCTGTGAATTACATCCCATTGTCCTTTTCTCATTTAAGTCTGGCAAAGTTCAAGTCCTGGAGACATCTTTAACTCTTTAGCTTATCTGTTACCTAGTCCTACTTACTGAGAAAATTGGTGGCAGTAGAAGTTTATGGTTCTCATAAACCTCAACTGGGCCTTCAAATTTGCACAGATGTACAGAATATCATTCTCCATTAGTCAGTTTTCTCTCTGGTTCTAGAAAATTATAATCCAAATCTCAAATCTTCCCCTCCCATAAAACTGCTCACTAAGCTCTGTAAATGGATTTTATTTCTCCCTATTTTCCTTCAGAGGAATCTGAGAAATGTAGATAGTATGTTGTGGAGCCGAGATTTGAATCCAGCTAGTCTGACTTCAGAATCAGAGCTCTGGAGCTACATGAAGGAAAAGTCATAGGGAGGAGATTGAAGCCTAGTTCAGCCTCATTGAGAGTAAGAAAGTTGTATATGAATGCTTTACTTGCCCAAGCTCATTTACTAAGCAACTCAAGTGTCTGGGACTCACTAGAAAATTGAGATGAAGTGGAAAAGGAATTTGAGAAAGTTTGTGAAACCCTGACCTTGAATGAGAGTCTTAATATGTGCTATAAACTTACATTGTTTCCTAGTCCATAACAGAACTAAGTGAGCAAAGAAGAGAGGGAAAAATAGTGTCAGAAATGGTGCCAAGTATACTAAGTGATAGCTCAGTTCCTGAAATAATAGTAATTTAAAGGCAATTTAAAAATTCAATAAAATCTTAGTGATTTGTGGGCATTTAGTATGAGGGAAAGAACTCTAAACATGTCAGCATTCCTGAAGAGAGTGTTTATCACAACACAGTATAATGATTTATTTTTATACCTTTGTTGTTGTTGTTAGGTGCCATTGTGTCAATATCTACTCATAGTGACCTCACATGACAGGGTAAAATTGTCTCATAGGGTTTTCTAGGCTGTAGTCTTTTCCTATTTAGCTGTGGGGTGAGTGTGAATTGCCAACCTTTCAAGTAACAGCCACACTGTTACTGTAAAATCACACAGTGTGATTTTCTCAGCAAGTAGGACTAGGTAAAAGATAAGCCAAAGAGTTCAATGGTCTCCAGGACTCGAACTTTGCCAGACTTAAATGAGAAAAGGACAATGGGATGGAAATCACACTGTGCCACCAGGGCTCCTTATTTATTAGGGGTATGAAACCTGATAAATAAATCAAGTATGAAATCTGTGAATGCCTCAGAAACCCAAGGAGTGGTCGCTATGAGCTGGGTCCAACTCGACGGCACATAACAACAACAACATGAAACCTGAAGAGTGTATTTTATATTTATATAAGGCATATATATATATATATATATATATATATATATATGGGAGCTCTGGTAGCATGGTGTGGTGTACATATTTATATATATATAAACTCCCTCTTATTGCTCTCCATCCTAGGCTACGGTAGGGAAAAGGCAAAGGTGCTTTGCAAAAGCTCTCCTGGTTATGCTCATATTCTTTTTGGATTGAAAACCAATCGTCTATAAAGTTACTTTCAGCCTGTCAATTCAATTATTTTGATGCTATGAAGCCAAAGCCAAAATATATTAAAGAGACTCTTGCTAAGCAAGAAAGATTGAAATCAATTTTTCAGCATTTTCACAAACATTGTTAAATAGTAATGTATTGAGATTTTAAACAAGGAAACCTCACTTCCCCTTTTCTAAAAAATTGACTGATTCTGAATATATTCATGGATAATTCTGGAAAAATAAAACATTGTAAGATTTGTGGGGTCCTACCTGTCGTTGATCCCCTAGTTGGTTGGGAGCAATTAGAAACTCTCTGAGCTGTGAGCTTACAAAGCCCGTATCTTGGCAATAAGCTAAGGTGGTTCCCAAGGCTTTCCAAAGGAATTTCTGGAATAAAAAGGCAAAAGGATGTTAAAGAGTGGAGAGCAAAACTCTGTTCAAGAGTGGAAATAGTTAAAATGGCCATCTGACTTAATAACTGATTAATAAGAGCAATCTACTTCCATAGTGATACTGCCTCAGAAACCCAAGGAGGGGTTGCTATGAGTTGGGTGATGGCACATAACAACAACAACAAGCCTCCAGCATCATCTCTTTTTGACAATGTTTGCTTCCTTCAAGCTCTGTCCTCTACCTAGGCTCTTCTCTGCACTCTTTCATCTTTGTGTCCCGCCATTGCAATACATTTTACTCCCTATTGTAATGTTTTGTTTTCTTGTTTGCCTCTATGCTCAGACCATGAATTCCTGTCTTGGTAGCAGAGGGCCTTATTCATGATTTCCAGTGTGCACTCCCTGGTATCTAATATGTGCTCAATAAATGCTTTTTGAATAAACATGCTCAATGAAAATAGGGTTATTTTGAAGATGATGTCATCAAATCTTCTTAATATCCAAAGTATACTAACTTAGTTTGCAATTTCGAAGATTTCACTTATTACAGATTTGAAAATTATACTTAGTAAGCGCTATTGTTACAGCAAATGGGAGCTGAGCCAATGGCCAGAACAGGTAAGGGGAGAGCTCCATGCAGGAAGTGGGAGCTGGGCTGATGGCCGAAACAAGGAAGTGGAGAGCCCTGGGCAGGAATCAGGAGCAAGTAGACAGCTGGAACAGGTAGGGGGAAGGCCAGGAAGTGAGTGGAGTGGTTTGGAACAGCTAGGGGAGATGAACTTGTCTGTCAGTTTGTCATCCTGTGGTAGCTTGCATGTTGATGATAGTCTGGAGGCTGTGCCATTGGTGTTTCAAACTCCAACAGGGTTACCCATGGTGGACAGATTTCAGTGCAGCTTCCAGACTGAGACAGACTCAGAAGAAGGAAGAGTCTGTCCACTTCTCAAAGAACTGGCCAGTAAAAACCTTATGTATAGCAGTGAAACACTGTCTGATATATTACTGGAAAACTTTATGAGTAGCCCTGAAATACCGTCTGATACAGTGCTGGAAGGTGAGCCTTTTAGGTCAGAAAGCATTCAAAATATGACTGGGAAAGTTCTGCCTCATCAGAGTAGAGCCGACCTTAATGAAATGGATAAAGTAGAGCTTTTAGGACCTTCATTTGCTGATGTGGCATGACTCAAAATGAGAAGTAATAGCTGAAAACATCCATTATAATCAGAACATGGAATGTACAAAGTATGAATTTAGGAAAATTGGAAATTGTCA